TCCTCGCTGCTCTCTGACTGCCTGTTGATCGTGTCTGGATCGTCTGTCTGTCTGTCTGTCTTGGCTGATGGATGAGCTCAAGTGCTTTTTTCAGTGAGTGACGTGTGTGCGGTTGGTGTCGGTCCGTCTGTCTGCATCCATTTATGGTGTTAGCTGTCGTGTGTGTGCTGTGTGTGCTGCCAACACGTTCGGCTCGCTGGCTGACCGATTGATTTGTCGATGGCCTTTCTTTCTTTCTTTCTCTGTCTGTCTGTCTGTCTGTCCTGTGTCTGTCTGTGAATACCGCCGCTGAGACGTTTCCCCATGTGTTGATGGATTCGGGCATGGATCGACGTGTGCGTGACGATGAATGGTGGCTAATGGCTGATGGCTACATGCGTGTGTCGTGATTCTGCCTCCAGCTTGTGACGTTCCTGCCTGTGTGTCACGTGGATGGTGGATGTCACTCGACCGATCAATTCATCCATGCGATTAACTCGAAGACGCACGCACCAGCCAGTCCGACATCCTCTGCACACACCACACCAATGCAGTCAGGGGAGTGTACACCTCTCTTCGAAACCTCGGTGACAAACAGCAGGGAGGGAGGGAGGCATCAAGACAGGCAGGCAGCCAATACGAAAAGAAGAATGCGCTTGTACATACCAGTATAAAGCGACATCCCACCGGTAAAAAGCGACACACATAGGACACCAGACGGACCAGAAAGCTGCTGGTGAATTGCTGCTGTGTGTGTGTCACACACACGTCGCACATCACATTACCAGCAACACTCGGCCATGAACACGAAAAGGCTGCTCACTTCTCCCGATCGATGAGTGGACGCACTCGAAAGACACAGCTATTCTACTCAATCGACAGACCAGCTGTCCATCGATGGCATGCAGACACACATTAAAAACCCGGAATGAGAGGGCAAGGGGAAGGCAGAGAACAAGCAGGCAGAGCACTTGACCGTGACGCCCAAGTGACGCCCACCGCCCCCACGCACCTCCTCACCCCGTGTCCGTGTCACCCTGCTCGGCCGTCGGCTGGGGACGACCATACCTGGTCGTGGGCAGCTCCGCCTCGCCCGGCTCGCTGGCGGCTCGGCGGTTGCAGGCCTGCTTGCAGCACCCCACACACCACACCACACACGACCCCACACGCTTGCAGCACACCACAAACGGCCCCACACCTTTCTTCAACCACTCCCACCACCCCCCGACATCGCATTGCGATATGCCTTCCGCAATGCTGCGGAAGATGGCTGCGAGGAGGACAAAGACGACGGTCGACACGCCCTTCCACAGCCGTGCCTCCACCAATGCGCCGGCGCCCAGCGCGGCGAAGAACGCCGCCCACCCCTCCCGAACGGGGGAGGGGACTCTCGAAAAGAGAAACCCCATTGCGCCACCCACCAACGCCGCGCCGAAGATGGCGCAGATGATGCGGGATCCAATCTCCTTTGTCTGCATACAAGCAACAACACAACGGTGAGCGTCGCCCTGTCCCACCCATGTCACCCACTCCCTCTGTCCTCACCAGATCCTGTCTTTCCTTGACGTTCTTGGCCCACGTTTTGAAGTTCTCGGAGTTGGTGATGCGCCCGCTGTTGTCCAGGTAGTTCTTCCCTTCCTGGGCCTCATTCTTAGGGATGCGCAGCATGTCGGGTGAGTCCATGTCGGTCAGCTGGTTGGCCGCTATGGCTATGGCTATGGCGGCGGCAAGAAGCTCTCTGTCCTCTTGAGAAGCGCGGTCGCACATGGTGCCGTCCGCTGCGTGTGAGCTGGGGTAGAGCCGCCCCTCTGGCACCTGTTGTTTGGTTTTGATAGCAGGGTTTTGATAGCAGGGTTTTTGAAATAGATATCTCTCTATTTCGTGCATCTTCGGTGAGCGTTGGCGGCTCTCGTGCGTGTGTTGCTTGGCGGGCTGGCCATGCCCATGATGGACTCGTGCGTTGCGTGCCTTGCGTAAAGGCTTGTACGGCAGAGATTGATCCTTCTGACCACGGTGTGTGTTCGGCACACAGCAACTTCAACATGGGCGCAGCAAGAAGGTTTCTCTGCTGAAGCAAGGCTACTGCTGCTTGTTCAGACTGTCCTCTGTTGACTCTGCACTGAGGCTATGGCGGGCCGAGGCTTTGAGATCACCATCGACGACCAGCGTCACAGTTCCCGAGCTGGACGGCGACTCTCACGCGTATCTGAGCTGGACCTGGAAGGTCAGGCGGCTGCTCTCTTCCTATGCTGAGCAGGAGGCTGTCAACCTCACCAAGGCGACTCTGCGAGCGAATGCGACGGCACAAGATGCGTCTGACGAAGCGAAAAACAAATGGAAGGCCGCACAGGGACTGTGGCGTATCCTCGTGGGCGTCTGCAAAGGAAGAGCGGCCACTTACCTGCAGCAGATGGGCGACACAGAGGAGGGCAATGGCGCCTACGCGTGGTGGCATCTTCGCAACTGCTACCTGCGCAACAAGACCAGATGGGCACGATGCTGGCTCAGCAGCTCCGTTCATTCGCCTGGCAGACCCTCGAGCCGGAGACGGAGATCCTGCGCTTCGAGAGCCTGGTGAATCAGTATCGAGTGTGCATGGGCGAGGAGCTCTCACAGCTGGATCAGCAGGCCTACCTGACTGACTCCATCCCCACCACTGAGACGGGCCTCAGCATCCTGAAGGAGAACATCCTCAGCGAGAACTTGGGGCTGGACGCCATCAAGGACCGTCTGCGCAACTGGGGGGCCACCCACCTCCGCCAGTCGACCACATCGACGAGCCCACAGCAAGACATCATGGCCATGATGCACAACACCCAATCGCCCGCCCCTCCACTCTTCCCGTCACAGGGCAGCTATCCCGTGCAGCCACCCATGCCTCCCATGGCACCACATTGGCACCACAGATGCAGAGCAGCCCACCCCAGCACATGCCCACGCACCACCAGCCTTCTCCCTCTTACCCCACTTACCCTCACATCTTCACCCAGCAGCACCACCACCAGCAGTCCCTGCCTCACGAGCATCTGGACAAGGAGCGGATGAAACGCATCGGTATGGTGGATGGCGTTACTGCGACGACCGCATCAACAAGCTGCGCAACGGCGACAGCAGGGCGCTGATGTGGGAGCCAAGGAAAGACAGGGGCACCAACAACCGCAGCGCAGGCAACGGCTGCCAGATGAACAACCGACGCAACGACAGGGGCCACCGCGGCAACGGAGGGACGGCACAGCCAGTGACTGTGGAGCAGCATCACATCGACCGCGACTCGTGGTGTCTCATCACTCAGCGCATCATCACCGTTCAGCCCATCGTGTCTGAGCTCTACTCCATCGACCTGCAGAGCAGCATGCTCGTCGACTGCGGCGCCACCAACAGTGCCGTGAGGGACGGCAAACACCTGGTCAACATCTCGCCCCTTGCCGTGCCCGAGATGATCAGGACAGCATCCAACGATCTCATGCCCATCAAGGCCGTCGGCACCCTTCCCCTCACCATGCAGAGCACATCTGGCCCCGTCACCCTCATGATCGGCAACGTCGCTGTCGTGCCTGATCTCAAGTACAACGTGCTCGCGACTGACGACATCAACCTGCATGGATACGGTGTCTGCCTGAGCCACAAAATCGCCCCGCACTTCATCCACGAGAGCACTGGTGTGAGCATCCCCCTCTCGAGGTGCGGCAAGCTGCACTTCATCAATTTTGTGCACGTGGGGACGGACATGGCCATGCACACGGGACGGATGGACAATGGTGGTGGACAATTGAGCCCCGTACAACAAAGCATGGGGTCCGGGGCCCCCTTCAAAGCAGCACCATGTGCTCGCCCCGGCCCACATTCAGGTCAGAATGACGGGCAGGTGGCGACAGACAGACACACAAACACGGGTGATGCCCCAGGGCTAACCAGTGTGTGTCAGTCTGCTGCTGTCAGGGTGGATCAGTGTGTGTTGGCGGTCGACTCGTGCGAGCAGAACTACAACTACTGGCACAACAAGAGCCATGCGTCTGCCAAGGCCCTCTCACGCATGAGCGAATGGACAGAGAACGAGAACGTCAAGGTGCCCGACAACCTGCCCCCATGCGACAGCTGCAAACTCGGCGCGATGCGCGAAGTGCCCAAGGAGGGAGAGCCCATCAAGGCTGACTTCATCGGCGACCTCGTCACGGCAGACATCAAGCCCGTCAAGACCAGCATCATCGGCAACTTGGTCTCGAGATTCACCTGCTTCATGCTCTTCGTCTGCGTCTTCACTCGTGCCGCATTCGTCTACGTGCTGTCCGACCACTCCGCCAACACCGTCTCCCGCGCACTCAAGCTCTTCCGCATCGAATACGGCCACGACATCCACCGTCTTCGCACCGACAACGGAGGCGAGTTCCACTCTCGTCTGTTCTGCTCAACGTGCACCGACCTCAACATCAAGCAGGAGTTCAGCGCCGCGCACCATCAGCACCAGAATGGCATCGTCGAGCGCTCCATAGGCATCATCGTGGACATGTCGAGAAAGCTGCTGCACCAGAGCGGACTGTGGGCGTTTCGCGACTCCCTGTGGCCGTACGCCGTCAAGTGGGCGACCTACCTGAGGAACCGTATGCCGCATGCTGCCTTGTCCCGTGAGCGTCTGATGACCCCCATCGAAGCCCTGCGTGGTGTCAAGTCCGACTACAAGGACATCCATGCGTTTGGTGCGCTGGCCTACGTCCATCAGCCTGTGACGGAGCACTTGCTCATCAAGGCGCCACGGGAGAAGCACCTGACGGCGATGCCAGAGGTAAACACATGTGGACACATGAGTGCGTGCACATGCATCGTGCGTGGTGGATGTGTGTGTGCAGGAGCAGTGACAGGGCGGCGATACGCCTTGGTGGAAAACGACGCAGTGCGGGGCCAGCACAAACGTCCAGCAGAGCTGTGACGCCTTCTGCAAGAGGACCAACCGCAAGTCGATGGACGGCATCAACAACACCACCATGGGGCGCATGCACGGAGGCATCATTGCAGTGGTGAGCAGACAACACGCGAACAACACAGATCCGTCATGTGTGTGATGAGTTTCTTTGGTTCGTGCTGCTTGGAAGGTAAGTATGGGGAGCCCTTCGGTGATCTGGTGCTATGGCGAGAGGAATGCGA